GCCCTTTGTCACATTCCTGAAAAATCGTTAAAAGGGGGAACCCCCAACCTCTTGGTGCACACCTCTCTCTGGGGTCACCCACACTTTGTAAGTGCATGACTTTGACTTTTTCCCAGTCTTCCAGTGCTCCTCTCTCTGAGGTTGCCCACTCTTTCCAAGTGTGTAGACTTTTTCTCTTTCAATAAAACTTAAATCTTTCAAGGCGCCTCTCCTCCCTGAGGTCACCTGCTGCAGTTTTTCTCTCTTTAAGTAACTTTAAATAAAAGTTTTACTCTGTTTCACTACTGTGTCTCTGCCCTTCAATTCTTTGTTGCAGTGGGGACAAGAACTGAGAAAAATATACGACGCTCCCTGTCACAACACCAATCCATAAGCTTACTTTCATGTTTGCTCCCAGGGCCAATATCCCAACTTCTGACCACAGCACCTTTGCTTCTGTTTCATATCCCCGCTTTTCTCCACAGAGCTGCTTTTTAATTTCATTATAACCCCCGATCTTCCCAGAATTGGCTTCACTTTATTGCCTATGCATCACTTTGAGTGTCCTATCCCATGCTGTAACTTAACTACTTTTTTTGGTTTTCCCCCGACAACTCACATTTTCTACAGACTCACTAAGCAGCATTAGAGAAAAATACACTATGTAAACTATTTCTGCTACAAATCAATAGTTCCCAACCCGAGGAGACCCTTGATGCTGTCTAATAGTTTGTCACCTATCCCCAGACACATTCTTGTCTCTGTGATGGTGGCAGGTGAATGGCTGCCATCACTCATCATGGTTCCCTTCATTCTTACCAGCGTAGTTCCTTCCCCCTTCAGAAGGAGAAGAAAAGCTACAGAATATATATATGCCCTCAAGTATCCTTTAATATATCATAATCTGCTTCCCTTCATCTTTAACAAAGATGGCTAGGATGCTTTTACCTACAGAGTAACTATGATATTCATTTGGTTTATACACTTTACTATGTGTAATCACAGTCCATAGATAAAGCCCAAACAGAAGAAATTACACAGGCCACATTTTCTCATAATAAAACAAGTAAAATATGGTTAAAGAAAAGAAACAAGCCCCAAATGGAATCACTTATACCCCATGACAAACCAAGACTAAATCACACTTTCAACTGTCCCAGGAATGTGACCTTTTAATAGTCAACCTGAATTTTCCTGATTAGCCTTGGTGAGGTTGTCTGCATGATAAAAACTCTATTTCCTTCCCTGCAGAAAATTGGTATCCTATCCTGAAATAATCCTTTCTTTTCTTTTGCTAATAACTTCCTTGTCCCACCCACCTGCTTATAAAATCTATTTTTTATAACTCCTTGGAGTATCTCCCTACTTGCTAAATGGTATGCTACCCAATGCATGAATCTCTTAATAAAGCCAATCAGATCTTCAAATTTACTTGGTTAATTTTGGTTTTTAAGAATATAAGGTAAAATTAAGTGAATTGTGCTCAGCACTTGTCAGTTTGGGGTAAATACACACATACACATATATACTCACACACCATATATATATATATATATATAGTTATTTAATTTTTACACCAATCTTTTAGGATAACAGAAGAAATATGAAATACAGCAAGTTTAAGTAATTTGCCCCCAAAATAGTTTAGCAAGCAGTGAAAATAATAACCAATGCTGTTTAAGAAGTAAATTCATAGGTTGAACAGTCCAATTATTATTTTCAACAAAATATTTAGACCATGAATCATCTAGAGTTATTTTTGCTCTATATCATCATACAAAATGTTTTAATGTAACTACAGATTCTCTAGGACTTCTCTTTTGAAATTTAGAACTCTGCCACCAGTAAAGGCCCCTAAAACACCCTGATATTTGGCTCAGACAGCTGCCTAGAATTCCTCATGAGCAAAGATATCTGTGCCCAATAATGTTATCCTACCACTTGGAAAATATGGGCAACTGAGGAATTTTCTAGTTGAGAAGAGCATCTTATTTTAACGAATGAAACCATTAGAAAGCACAATCAGAATTCTAAGTATGCATTCTAATCAGGTTACCTGATTTAGCAAGTAAAATCACAGGATTCCCAATTAAATTTGAATTTCCCATAAACAACAAATAATTTTTAGTATAAGTATGCACCATGCAATGTTTGGGAAATATTTATACTAAAAAGGTACTTGTTGTTTAACTAAAATTTAAATTTAAATGAATGTGCTGTATTTTATCTGGCAAGCTTAGTTTTAACACTAAGATATATTCAGTCAAACTTCTGAAATTTGAGCTAATATTTTAATTCTAATTTACCCAACAAGGCAAATGCATGCCACCATACATTTTTATTAATTTTTTTCCTCTGAAACTTCTCAGAAACTTTAGGTATTACTGTATGATATGTTGAAATACAGTAATTGTAAAGAATCATTGTAGACGTCCCCTATATAATTCAAACTAAATGAATGTAAATTAACATATTAGTGCAAAGAAACTGAAAATCGTTCTCTCCTAAAAAAACAACTAATTACAGAGTTCTAAACTGTATAAAGATATGAAATAGGGAAAATTATCTTTTATTTTTAGAAAGATATGATTATTTTAGCTGTGACGCTATTTCTATATCCATTGCTATAAAAGTATTAGGCACATTATGTAATTATAGTTATATAAATGCTGTTAAATATAATAGGAATATGTACAATAGAAATAAAGTTACATTTTCAAAATTTCAAAATTTTCAAAACTTACACAAATTACTTTTTTTCAATAGTAACTTATATAGCTTCCTCTGAGTTAGGTAAACATTTACAGGTCAATATCTTGTAATTTCCTATTGTTGGGACTTTTTCCATTATAAATATAAATTGCTATATTTTTTTAATGTTAAAAGAAAGGCAATCTTATAATAATCCCATAAAACCAGTAATTGAATGCTTCCAAAGTTTCCCTGGCACCTCCCATATTTTAAGACATGAAAATTTAGTTTTCTACCCAAACCCAGTCCAAAGCATCCAAGAAAAACTGATGCTCAAAAATAGTGACTGAAAACCAAATCCATTATGGCAAACTCATAGAAATCCATGTAGCATAGAAAAAAAAAATCTCAATTTCTTGAGGTAAGCTGTCCCCTGAAGTCATCATCTTTTCTAGCACAGACTCCTATGAAAGCCAGCTCATTTGCCTCCCTCCATCACCTCTTACTCCCAATCAATTTTCCTTAGCTCTGTTGTAGCAATCTTCTTAAATGCAATTCTGATCATGATCCTCCTTTATTTAAATCCCTTCTTGTTTTCTCATTCTTCTTTTGATGAAGACCAAAATCTTTAACCTGGCATTGGTTGATTTGGGGGTCTTCCTCCCAATCTTGGGGAAATCACCTAGCCTTACTGACCACACAGACAAGGACAAATCATGTTTTCCACACTCTCTCACCGTTTTGTTTTTCTCTCTTAGAACTATGCCATACCAATAATTAATCATTTATGTCATTATGTACATGAATATTTGTGTTCTTATTTGTTTAATGTCTGTCTTCCCTGCTAAAAGCTGCTCATAAACCTAGTTGCTCTCTATATTTCTCCTCAACACATTCCCAGTGCTTAGGCATGCCCATATATATATGAGATAAAAGAGAAGTATTTACTGTACAAATAAAAGAAAAACAATGTATGAATATTTGTGAACCCCCATAAGTAACTATTACAATGGGGATTGCTCCCATCAAATGCCTTTGCACTTTCCAACAAGGAAAGTTGCATTACAGAGATTTTTTAAGTTGATTTTGTATCCTTCTAGGAAAATTCCTTTGAATATTCACACCTTGTTCTCCTGCCAACATGTCTCAAAGTCACACACTGAGGAAAAAATTGAGAAAATTCCGAGAACAGCTGGTTAGCATATTTCTTTTTTTTTTTTTAACTTATATAGGAAACAAGTAAAGACAGAGTCATAAAGATCAGGCCTGCATATTGCCTTCTCAAATAAGAGACCTGAATATAACCGTACCTGTTGAGTTTGCTTTAAAGGAAGCAGCATATGAGAAATTCTAAAAAATCTCCTAGGTAAAAGGCAGATGCTACCAAGAGCCCTCAGTTCTTCTTCTGATGTTCATTAGGCAAACCCAAACTGGGCCTGTTTGAAACCCATTCAAGCTTGGTGGGATCCAACAAACACTCCAAAAAGGGGAGTTTGTGTACAGAGGAGGACGGTTGAGTCACTCTGCTGTTTTCAAATGTTAATACCAAACTCCCAAATTCTTTGGTTTTATTATTAATCATGGCAATTTAAAAGATGAGAATGAGTAAGAAACAAGGCATAGTTTAAGTAGATCATTCAAGCTTACAGTAAAATCTAACCACTACATCTAATTACAAAGAAAAGGAAATCAGTAACGAAGTTATTTCAAGTATATTAAGAATAATGCAATAAGAATATCAAAAGTTAAACAAGTGTCTGCTATCTTACTGGCACTATTTCAACAGATGTAAACAAAACATCTGAAAAAGAGGAGGGCAGGGATTTCTGGCACCTTACACTGTGGAGCATAAAAATACATGTTATCTTATATAAATAGGTCTAAAAGAAATCAAGCTAAAACTACTGAAATAAAGAAAGCATTTCTAGGGCTGCCATAACAGACTGGGAGGCTTGAACAACTGAAATTTATTTCCTTATAGTTCTGGAAGTTGGACTTGAAGTCAAACTTATTTCCTCACAGAACTGGGGGCTAAGAGTGGGCAGGGTAGGTTTCTTCTAAGGGCCTCTCTCCTAGGCTTGTAGATGTCCAGGTGAAAATTGATAAAGGGAAACCTCACTGACAAGTGTGGGGAGGCCAGCAGGGAGAACTCACACCCACAACTCCTCACAAATTGCAGACCTCAGGAGAGGAGACCCCACACCTTACTACTCTCTCTACTAAAAACCACTCCTCTCCTTTGTTCTCCAGATAAGCACAGCATACTTGTCCCAAATTACAATTCTCTGTTGTTCCTGAATAAAACCATTTTTGCTGGTAAAACAACTCACAGTTTTATATTTAAGGTCAACAGCTTTCTTCTTCCACTGTCCTCACATGGTCTGCCCTCTGTGACTGTCTGTGTCCTAATCTCTTCTTACAAGGACACCAGTCACATTGGATTAGGGCCCATCCCTATGACCTCATTTTACTTTAACTACCTTTTTAGTTAAATACAGTCACATTCTGAGGTACTAGGGGTTAGGACTTCAATATATGAATTGTGAAAGCACACAATTTAGCCCATAACAACATGTCTGCTATTAAAAAAAAACAACTCTTGCTTTCCTTCTACTTCCTATTTATTTCTTTTAAAAAATTAAGACATAATTAACATACTATAAAATTCACCCTTTTAAAGTATACAGTTTTTTCATAGGGATGGAAGGAACTATTTGGGATGGAAGTCTGAATATACTTGCTTCCAGAAGGAAGTCTTTATTTTCTTAAGTTTGAACTATAGAAACCCAGGAACCTTCATAAAATGATGTGAAGAATTTAGGTGATACACCAGTGAAAGTGAGAGGGTGCCATGTATTTTTAGCTGTTGAATGGAATTTCTATACTTACCAAATTCAAAACAGTAAATTCTCCTATATTCTACCTTTAATTTCTTACCTCTTTAGCTCAACATTATTTAAACCCTGGAATTCAACTATCTATGAGTTTATTTCCCAACTCAACCACCAGCTATTTAAATAATGGTGGGCATGGCCAGGAAGCTGTCCATTCTCCCACCAGCTTCTGTCATAAGAAGACAGCAACTGAACACCTTTCTTCCAAAAGTACACTGAGGCATGCGTCAGAGAGACCATCCCCTACCCACAACACACACATAAAAAGAGAGATTTATACATTTATGGAGGGTAAATATTCAGTCTATACAGTAAGTATAATCTTTCAAAGAAAGACAGGGCTATTTATCCCTAGTAATTTTATAAGAACTGTCTAACTTTTTAAATGAAATATATACTTATTTATGTTTGTTGTTTGGTTTTACTACCCACACTATTTCCATATCTGATAATGCATTAACATTTTGCAGAAAAAGAATTCCACCAAGTGAGCTCCTCTTACTGGAAAATTAGTAAGTCACTTCATAATTGTATTGATAATATATTATTGTAATTAAATCAAATTGCCTTTTCCTTGGCCTAGAAACAAACTGTTACATTGCAGCATGCCAATTAATATTTCTTTGTGTTTTTCTGCAGGCTGTGGCATCCATGTGAGAGTAAAGAAAGACACTTATATCAGTGCTATTTTCCTTGATGACTCCATTGATCCACAAGCCCATAGAAGTCAATAGGATTTTGTTTTTAGCAGAAATGCTGCAGTGTTGGACACATAGATTATCTCCATAGGAAAGTACAGCAAAACAAATTTTAAACTGTCCCAAATAGCTCAATTACTTTCAAATACCCTGTCTGGTTTATATTAAAATGTATTAGATATTTCACTAATCTTTAAAGTGGACTTGGTATCTTGTGAATAATGCTTATAGTAGAGGTAAAAAGCATTAAAAAAAAAGATGACTTTTCTGGTTGATAATATTTGAAGAGTTTCCTCCCTTTTTTTGAAATACTAATTTTTTTTTGGTATCACGTCAGTTAGGCCTCTTTAAAAAACTTACACAATAGGTCCACAGTGCCTGGCTAGGAAGTCACAAAGAACCAGAAATGAAACCTTTCGTTACTGATTGCCAGAGCACATCTGATTAGTCTAGAGCCTTTCTTCAGTTTCAAGCCAGAAGCAAATGCTTCTCTATGTGGGACACCAGTCAGAGTGGCAGGCATTTCCTCTGATTTGACTAATCATCACTGCAGGGTGAGAGGGTGGGCAAAAATAGGAGTTTAGAGACATTTCCTCCCTCAGGGGAATTCTTCATCTCTAAATTATTAGTTTAAGACCTGAGGTTTTAGACCTGAAGCTCCATCATCTCACAAAAAAATCAGGTCAAGGATCCCACCCAAAGATATCTCTCACCTGGGCATCAGGCCTGTAAAATTAGATATATCCCATTTTTTTCCTTCTTTGGAAAATTTTTATTTCTATAAAGCAACTTTCAGGTTTGTTGTGAAGATTAAATACAATGAGACTTTGGAAATGTCTCACATAGAGTAGCTCTCAAAAAATCATTTCCATAATTACTTTTCAATTTGTCTTTGCGTAGTGTTCACAGGTACAAAAATATGTCTTTTTTAAATGTAATACATCCCAAACAACAACTACTGTCACAGCAAGATATGTTTTATAGGAGGCCTTTGGAATAGGGTAATTAGATATTTAGCACATATGACAGTCATCCCTTAACTTATACAGGCAGTAGAGAATATATGAATTTAGAGGATTAGACTCAAATAGCACAGAAAGTCAAAAGAGAATGTAGCTAAAAGATTAGAAACTGGGTGTCCAAAATTCTCGGTGTATTCAGCTACATAAAAAGAGAAATTTTCATTTTTTAAGCTAGAAATATGTTAACTCTATTGCTCATATGTAGCTTTATACATTCTGCTTTTGAAAAAAAATGCATTTTGCTTTCTTCCTTCACTGCTATACAATTTTTCTTCCTTTTTTCATTTTCTTTTATTTATTCACCAAGTGTTGTATAAGGCATAGAAGAGCAGAACTAATGTTTTTAAAGGTGACCTCAGTCAAATGAAGAAAACAGATATATGAAGCTACTTTCTTGGTAGAGATATGCATATTTTGTCCTATTTATTGCCTTGGTTCTTATTTCTAATTATTTTCCTTTGTTTCTTAAGTCCCAGTTAAAAAAAATATATATGATTCAATTGTGTTTAAATCGGAGAATGGACCTGGGATGACTTCTTCAGTCATTCAGAGATTACTATCCTAGTGTTTAGTCAAAGATTAAAATTGACTGAGGCTGTCAGGACACCTATTATGGCTAAAATGGATTCACTATTTCCAGGATGCTTGCCTGACCCACTGCGCCCTGCCATGATTGACGGATACAGGGCAAGACTATTAGAGTGAAACAAGCCTGAATCCCAAAGGAGTATACTGTATATATTTCTCCCATCACTGAGTATATTCTGGGAATAGATTTCCTGAAGGGTCTGTGGATACAGACCACTGCAGGTGAATTCAGACTTAGGATACGTGTGGTAAAGGCAATTCCAATGGGACGTGCTAAGCACCCACGCATAGCTTTGCCAGTGCCTTCATAGGTGACTAATACCAAATAATACAAGTTGCCAGGAGGACATAAAGAAATTGGAGAAACTCTCCAGGAACTGGAGAAAGTGGGTATTATAAGGCCTACCCATAGCCCATTTAATTCCCTGGTGTGGCCAGTAAAAACACCAGTCAGCTCCTGGCCTATGACTGTGGATTTCCAGGAACTGAAAAAGTCACAACCTCTTTGCATGCTGCTGTTCCCTCCACAGCAGCCCTCATGGACACCCTCAGTCGTGAAATAGGGATGTGTCACTCTGTTGTAGACCTTGCTAATACCTTCAGGAATAGTTTGCCTTCATATGGGAAGAGTGGCAATATACCTTTACTGTCCTTCCACAGGGATACCTCCATAGTCCAACTATCTGTCCTGCGTTTGTAGCCCAAGATTTGGAGACATAAGAAAAACTGCCAACAGTATGGCCATACCATTATATTAATGATATCATGTTCACATCTGATTCTTTTACAGATCGAGAAGGGACAGTTCCTAGATTGCTGCAAATTCTACAGGCTAAAGGATGGGCCGTAAACAGCCCCAAGGTTCAGGCATCTGGTTTGTCAGTCAAATTCTTAGGGGTTGTCGTGTCAGACAATCATCACTATCCCAGAATTGGTGATAGATTAAGTCCAGGCCTTTCCTACCCCTATAACTGTGGCATTATTACAGGAGTTTTTGGGTCCTTTAGGCTACTGGAGAGTGTTCAGACCACACTTGGCACAAATTCTGAAGCCCTTGTACTGTTTGTTATGAAAGGGCATCAGGTGGGACTGGGATGAGACATATACATCTGCTTCTACCACTACAGAATGGGCAGTCAAGGCCATGCAGGTCTTGAGTGTGATAGACCCATGAATGCCCTGTGAGCTGGGTGTCCATGTAACCAAAGACAGTTATGGCTGGGGTCTCTGGCAGAAGCACAAATGAGCTCACCAACCTATTGGATTCTGGTTACACTCTGTAAAGGAACAGGGGTATTGTATACATTAATAGAGAAACAATTAGCTGTCATGTACCACACCTTGATGGCTACATAGCCCATTAACAGAGTGGTCCCAGGAAAAGTAACAACCACCTATCCCATCTCAGGGTGAGTAGGAGACTGTACCCAAGAACCACAAAGTGGCATGACACAGATGCCTATGGTAGCCAAGTGGGATATATACCTACAGCAGCATAACACCATACCCTCTAGCCCACTGAGTGGAGAACTCCGGCACCTTCTGGGACCATTGACATATACCAGTGATAGGCTAGAGAAACCACCCTAGAACCACTAATAACAGGGAGCCTTTATCAGGTGGGAGGAACCCCTATACCTGAAGACGCATGCATGGTACAGAGGACTCCAGCCATGGGCAGCCCCCAAAATGGAGGGCCGTAGCTTTCCATGCTACAACTGAGATAATATGAATGGAACATGGTGAAGAGAAGAGCAGTCAATGGGCAGAGTTACAAGTGGTATGGCTTGTGATCACCAAGGAGCCCTCCCCACTAGTTGTCTGCACCAACATCTGGGATGTCCATCAGGGCTTGATCTGTGGCTACTGACATGGTACCATGCCAACTGGTTGGTTGGTCACCAACCCCTAAGGGCAAGAGTCGTTGAAAGACTTATGGGCCGCTGACCAGACTAAAATACTGACAATATATTATGTGACAGGCCATTTGCCACTGGCATCCACAGGAAATGATGAAGCAGACAAACTGGCCCAAGTACATTAGCTGGAAGGGAATCCTGCCTCTGATATAGCCCAGTGGTTACATTAACACCAGTTGAATGCAGGACAAAAGACAATGTGGGCTGCAGCCCACTGGTGGAGCCTCCCTCTAACCTTTGAAGAAGTTAGTTGAGCCCAACAAGA